GAATGTAAATAACGTAATGTAAATGACGGAAATGTAAAGACGAGAAAGTAAATAGCGGAAAATAAAAGACAAGAAAGTAAATAAAAAAGATGAAGATGAACTTGAAGAACACCCTTGAAGAGGGTTTAAAGCAAAAGGAAGAAAAGTTGGGAGAAAAAGTAGGGAGAATCCAAAGGATTATGGATTAATTGGGTGTGTGAAATGTTGTAACCTTAGCCTCCTATTTATACCCAAAATGGGCACTAAAAGACAAAAGAACAAAGCTTGGAGGCTAAGCTTACCAACACTAGTTACATTACAACTAAAGCTTTAACTAAAAAGTACAACACATAACTAAAGTTTAACTACAAAGTACATAAAGCAAACTAGAGAGTACATGAGTTTAACTAGAGAGTACATCTGATTTTCTACTAAAAATCCAGCCCATTTATAGTTGTATTCCACCACCAAAAAGCCAACGTCTTGTTCATTAAGCCCTCCAAAAAGTCGTGCAAGACCTAGGCCAACGCTGCACCAATGCTGTAGCATTTGCTGTTTTCACAAAAACTTCTAATTAGCTTCAATTTTTCATGCCATCAAGTCAACCACAACATTTAGCTTYATAATAACAAAAGTATAAAKAAATAAATGAAAATGACTCAATTTGGGAATGAAAAGAAATTATCGTAACTAAAAAGTCCTAAAAAGAGCGCGTTATGTGTTAAATTCTCAACACATATCAGGGGCCGTTTACTTAAACACTTACCCGATAAACACTTACCGATAAAATTTAATATTATTGTTTACTTATAGGACAATATTTTATTCACTAAAACGCATCGTATGCAACAATTTATCCCGGTAAGCGCTAACCATGGTAAGAATCTTTGTTCTCACTTACCGGGTAAGACTCAAGATACTTGATTTCGCTCTTACAGGGTAAGATTCTTAGTCTTTCATATTCATCCAGTAAAATAAATTGACTTGGTAACCGTTTGTTCGAGTAAACATTTGGTAAACGACACCTTACTTGAATCATATCTCTTATTTCAATCAAACTTGTATCTCTGATCGATATTTATCCAAAAAATATAGTAAACAACCCATTAGTTTCAATGTTTAATAATTATTTAGTATTATTAATTAAATACTAAAAGATAAAGGTTAATAAACTATTTAATGTTTAATTGAAAATTAAAAATATCACATAGAAATATAAGGGTATAATGTCCATTTCTATTTGTTTAGAATTTAACATAAAATATTTAATAAATAAAATAATTTTTAATTAGCACTTACTTGAATCAGATTTTTTATTTAAATCAGACCTCTTTTTCAGATAGCATATAGGAACGATTTATTAAACACTTACAAATAATTTTAAATAATTTGGATAAATATTAAATCAATCCCTATATCAAATTCATTTATAAATAATTTTAAAAATTAAAAATAATTAAAAGTACAAATGTCTCTCTACATTTCTCCTTTTAACTCTTCATTTTATAATATCGTTTCGCCGAGAAAATGGAAACCCACATTTTTCTTTTTTATTTAAATTTATTGTTAACTCTGCCAACATACAACACAATCTCGTACTTGAAGATCTTTGCCACGCATACCCCCTACCAGCCCCTATTTTACTGATCACATGCGTGTCAGAACACGAATTGACCCTCCATCACGCGTGGTAATTTCCCATTCGTCCACGTTTTCGCCGCCAAAAACATCTTTTACCAGATGAACGGCCCAGATCATCCCGCCCTTTCTTCTGGATACTGTTTCTTTGCCCGAAATTCTTACGGGCCGCTGGTCACCACCTTACGTGGCCAAACTTGAAACCTTCTTTAAAGTCCTATGGCTTCCCTTTTAAACATCAACATATTTTCAATTCAATTACTCGCTCTAATCTGTGGTTTTCTTCAAGGAACTTGACATAGGCATCGAATATCTGTGCTGTGCTGTGCGTTTGGTTGGTGTTGATCGTGGTTTGGAATGGCAGAAATATGTTGTGGAATTGTGAATGAGAAGGAGGCGTCGCCGTCCGGGGAGGCGAGTTCACAAGCGGCACGGCGTAAGAGGATGGAAATCAGAAAAGTTAAGTTTGTTGCCGGTGTGCCAACAATTGTTAACGATAAGGGATGCAAGAAAGCGAGGCTATCGATCTCACCAGCGTCGTTCTCACGCGGATACAACTACGCCCTCCAGAATTCTAGGTTTTCGGAACGGAAACCGACGTCGGAAAATGATGATAGAGCTGATGTTGACAAGCCTACTACATCTCTAGTGTCGACGAGTTCCAGTCCTTCAGGATCTCGAGAGTCGATTCCTAAATTCGGAGTTGCATCTGTGTGTGGACGGCGGAGAGAGATGGAAGACGCCGTCGCTATTCATCCATCGTTTATCGGAAATGATGATGATCAAACATCTAATCTGCACTACTTTGGTGTCTACGACGGCCATGGTTGTTCTCACGTATGTTATATATAAATAAATATATACATATACAATACTTGTATCTGGATCATCATTTTAATCAATATCAATGTTTTGAATCATTGATTCTAGGTTGCAAGGAGGTGCGAGGATCGACTACACTTGTTGGTGAAGGAAGAAGTTATCAGCAAGAAGACGGAATCAATAGAGTGGATGAACACCATGGAGCGAAGCTTCAGTCAAATGGACCAGGAAGTAACAGCCTGGAACCAACAAGCTAAAATCGGCGACTGTCGGTGTGAGCTTCACTCGCCGGAGTCCTACGGCGTCGGATCTACGGCGGTGGTTGCCGTTGTGACTCCTGATAACATCATCGTTGCAAATTGCGGCGATTCCAGAGCCGTGCTTTGTCGAAACGGCAAAGCAGTGCCTCTATCAAGTGATCACAAGGTTAGGGGCGGTTTTCGTTAAGTCTCTGTAGATAAAGCTATCTAAAACGATGTTAAAAGCTCAATTCCGACTGGTTTTCACTTTTGTAGCCTGATCGTCCTGATGAATTGAAACGGATCGAAGCAGCTGGCGGGAGAGTTGTATACTGGGAAGGCGCGAGAGTTTGCGGAGTTCTCGCCATGTCTAGAGCCATCGGTACGTACGATTTGTGAAACGAAGTGCTTGTTTTCGAGGATTCATTTGTTTAAATACGATTTATTGGTTCATTTTTAGGCGATAATTATTTGAAACCTTACGTGAGTTGCGAGCCGGAGGTGACGATCACGAAGCGAACGGGCGAGGATGAGTGTTTGATTCTTGCAAGCGACGGACTTTGGGACGTGGTGTCGAATGAGACGGCGTGTGGACTGGCGAAGATGTGTCTGAAAGGAAATGCGCCGTCGGAGGAGATGAACAGTCCGCCTATGAGTGCTGATGCATCCAGTTACGAGAACTGCGACAAGGCGTGTTCAGATGCGTCGTTGCTACTGACGAAGCTGGCTTTGGCACGGCAGAGCATGGACAATGTTAGCGTTGTTGTTGTGGATCTCAGGGCAAATGGATCGTCATGATAGACGACTCTGACTGCCGACTGGTCTTGTAGGTCAAAATCGAGTTTAATTCTATATTTAGCGTAAAAAAGTTTTGATGTTGACGTGTGTTTGAGGTTGAGGTCGGAATTAAATTAGCAGCCATAGCATTTACAGCAAGTAGAGTGGTGGATTACTGAAGATGCATCTTTTATCGATTGGATTAGATTTTGGTTGAATTATAAATACAACTACAATGCATTCACATGTGAATGTTTACTAAATTTGATTTACGGTCTGACTTATTTTATTTTTTACCTTCGCCTTGTTTTATAATACAGTCACAAGTGAATGCTCTTGGAAGTTGATGAGACCTCCACAAAACTCCCAGGTCCGTTCCTGACACGGGCGAACGTAAACATATGGTTAACCGCAACTCCGCAAGAAACAAAGAATTCATTGCTAAAAATCTATTTATCATCAGAAAGAGTATAATAATAATATATCATCGTTATAACTTGTGGCAGAAACATGACATCGTTAAAAAAAGCATCGTCAAAGTTCACTTTTCTTGTAGTGACTCTCAGTAAGTACGAAAAAAAATCCAATAAATGTTTTTTATTGGTATAAAATTGAGTACAAAAAATGCTAATAATTTACTAAAGAAATAAATCTTATTTATCTTTATTATAAATATATAAGAATACCTAAATTTACGTACTTCTTATTAGGTAATTTGAAACAAAGAGTATAGAAACTATGGTTAATAATTTTTTATAAAAAATAATGATTTTTTTAGTTCATAACAAAAAATATGTGTTATTTTGATGCAAAAAGAGAATTTATGTGAATGAAGTAATCGTGAGAGTCAATGAGAGATCAATAATAAATAAGATTATCAAAGTCTTTTGTAGACATATGAGGATCAATAAGAATATGAAAGAAAAGATGATCCGTTGAGATCCAGTAAAAATAAATAATGAATTAAACATATAATAAGTAAGCTCAACAAATGATTGTTTGAGCATTTAAATAGAATCTTGTGACGTGGTGAAATCCCAATGAAAGATATATAAGTTAAATAATTGATGAAAATATTTAAATTTTATTTCTTTCTTTTTTTTGCTCAACTGAAATAAGATATTAAGATTAAAAGTACGAAACATGACATATATAAGAGACATTACTAAATACATCTACTAGAAAAGATTTATTGATTAATCACAAAACCATGAAACACGTCATAAATTATAAGAACAATAGATTGATTGTCAAACAATAATAAAATATTTTATGTAAAAGCAAAAATAGATAACAATAATCAACAAAAACAATTAGAACAAAATAATCAAATAACAATAGTTAATATAAGCATAAATTAATAAAAATATCCAACAAAAATATATTAACAACAGCAAACACATGATCGTAACGTTGAATTGTTGAAGTACGAAAACAATCAAAGCATATAGAAATAACAATAACCAATATCATTAGACCTTGTTGGAGATTAAAAAAAAAATAGAGAGACAGTAAACAATAGCATATCATGAATAACTAATTAATTTTTTTTATTTTCTTCTTCAATGTAATTAGTTGAGTCCTTATTATCTATTAAATTCTATTTACCTCTTGTTATATGCTACAACTTTTTCGATTTTCTTTAATTTATTAAATTCTTTTAAACTACTATTGTATTTTACGGGAAAAAAAAAATTGGACTCCTAATATTTTTGGGTCTTAAACGTGCGTCCGTACCGCCCTCCCGAGAGTGCCCTGGGTTTAGAAGTGTCTTGAATGGAATTCATGAAGATGAGCTTTTGGTTGACACTTGTGCAACATTTTAATTAGAATAATAGAGTAAGTAGGTAGGTGTGAAATAGAGGGAGTGGGTATTGAAACAGGTGTCTAATTATAGGCCACGAGTCAACATGGTCTGATTAGGCCTTAGATACGTTCCTCTTTCCTATTGGATCCATTATACCAAACACTGTATATATCCTCCAATTCATTCCTAACACTTAGGTTATGTTTGTTTTTTTAAAAGATGTATAAACTTTGAAGTTTTATTTCAGTTTTTATTTATAAGATCTGGTGTTGAAGTCTGAAATCTTAATTAATAATATTATTTGTTTTTTGTAAATTGATAAACGTTTGAATTTGTTTAAAGTGTCTATTTTTATTCATTAGAAATTATGGTTTTTAATTTATAGATAAATTTATACAGTTTCATATATTTATTCATTATCGTTACGAAATTTACATCTAAATTATATGATTAACATTCATTAAAGAAAAATATATTTTTTTATTAACAGTGTTTTAATACATTTAAATTCTATCAAAATACATCAATTGAGAATGGTGAGATTGATTTGGTAATAATCGATTGGGAAAAAATAATTGATTAAGATTAATCTCTTGAGAAACGTCCGTTGTTGATGGATTGAAGAACTATGAGAAGCAAATAAGAGGTTGGTTTACATCTTACCAAATAAGAGAAAAATAAGACATAAGTGCTTTTGAAAAATTGGAAAAAAAAAAACCGTCTGAATGGCATACCTTTTAACGAATCAGACATAAGAGGTTGATAAGAGATTTTTTATAAAAAAAAACAAACAAAGGCTTATAGTTGACCGGATTGTTCGCTTTTTATGTATTGCTAGTTGTATCCATCAAATATATTTTTTTAAGAACTTACATAATACTGAATTACATTAATATTGTTATATCAATGAATAATTTAATTTCCAACCCAAGTTTGAACTAGTCAAGTGTTACTAAAACCACCAAGTCTGATATCTTCATGGCCGGATGACGCTTCGATAGTCATCCTCCTGGAATCTCTATATAGCTCCAAAAGTCTATCAGATCTCACTCAGATCTGATATACATGTCGATAAGAAAAAGTGTTAGATTTAGCGCCTTGTGAGTTAAAGCGTTTTTATCATATAAATATAAAACAACTAAAATTATCGAACAATTTCCCTCAGATAGCGACTCATTTATTTAAAAAATAATTCATAAAAGAAACCTCTTTTCGAAGCTCGTTATTTCCAAATCAAATATTCGATTTTGACTTGCAACCAATATTCAACTCACCCACAACGTGTGCAAGGGGCATACTTCAAAACATCAAATATATAGATGAAACTATATATTTAAAACACCGAAAGCATATGTAATGAAGTACCTGAAAAACAATACATTTCGATGACGGAAGAGACCCCATTCCATAAAATGTGGCGAGGACACAAGAGTAAGCCACTTATCAACGTTCTTGAATTTCACCTTGTTCCAGGGATCCCATATACGAATTCATTGAGTACCATTGCAAGATTTTCACAATGACTCTAGTGTCTACTCGAAATCTAGAAGAGTTTCACCACAAAAATCACCGGTCTCCGCATATGTCTCCAAGAAGCACCACCGCAAGACCTAGCTCTGTATATGACTCAATAGAGTACTACCACAAGTTACTAGCTATGTATATGACCCAATAGGGTACCATCACAAAGCTCTCAAACCGTGACTCGGGGACCACTCACTGGAGTTAAGTGTGTACATAAAAACTGTTGGAAATTTTTAAGTAGAAAATGTGATTTTTTACTAACTTTAGGCACATTTAACTACATGTATATGGTTTAATTTTAATTGACTCTTAGTGGGCTTATGTTCTTCGTTATGAGAGCTTCGAAACCATATATAATGTGTCCAAAACCGAGTATGTGTGAATGAGATATCGAAGCTCAAAGTTGGGTACTTGGGATGAGTTTAGCAAAACCAAATGGGTGTGTGGGAGGTATCCCACATAGGTGGGGTGATTGAAGTTTTCATGGTTTATAACCATGGACTTCACAAAGGTTTTCAAGCTATTATGCAATGTTATGCTCCAACACCTATGCGCGCGTAGGGCGGGGTGCGGATTGTGGATTTCGTAGGCTAAATCCGCCGAACTCATGTGTGGGCGCGACCTGCGGACACGAATGCAGCTCCGAAATCACGAGCTCGCGCAACCCCGTTTTTGCTGAAATTTTATCTGGTTATCTGGTCTGTTTTTTTCAAATTTAATTCAGTTTTAGTAACTGAATCATTTTTAATGAGAATTTAATTGCAATTAAAATGATGATACATTTACAGCCTATAAACAGATCAAATTCTCATTTTGAAAATATACAGAACCACAGAATACACAGTGCACACGCTCCTCTTACTTTGCAAGCTTCTTTCCGGCGAATTTTTTAGGCAAGTTGGTCAACTCCGGCAGTACTCCTGCTCCGGCTGTTGTACCCTGGGAACAGACCCGAATTTGTTTAAGGGAATCATATCAAACACGAGCCTCAAACATTTCTCCTTCTTCTTCTGGAATTCAGAATTTGTTTCTGTTTTCTTTTCTTTACAGAATCCGTTTCTGTTTTACTAAATACAAAATTCGTTTCTGTTTCAATCAAAACGTTGCTGGTTTCTTCCACAGAATTCGTTTCTGTTGTTATATAATTTTTTTTAAACAGATTAAAATAATAACAGTATTTTTTCTTACAAAAAATCCACACTTAACAACACGACAAACTTCCATGCCTAATGGATCCAATGGATCACAGTTTTAAAATTACATGACATCAATTGAATGAGTATGCACTCAAAACATGTAATATCCAACAAATATGCAATTAATGCATTATAAGTCCAAAGCTCCGCACTTAGCTAATAAAATGGGACAAATATCCCCAAAATTCATTTGAGTTAAAATCAAGTCGATTGGCCCCTTAAAACACTTGATTATTTAAATAAAGTCAATGTAAAATGCATAAGCCAAAAAAGCATGTTTTCCAAACATTTAAGACATACTCGACACCTATGTCATAATAATATCCAAAAGGTCCAAATTACATGGTTTGTACTTTCAAATTTCTGACAAAGTTAATGGAACACTCGTAATTTGGAAAAACGGTTGAGGAACGATCAAGGAAACGGTTGGTGAACAGCCGGAAAAATGGTCGGGGAGCAGCTTGGCCACGACGGCGTGGCACGCGACTCAGCCACGACAAGAGCACGCGACACAAACAATCCATACGCCCACGGCCTAGACCGCAACTGGAACTACATAAGCCCTTGGTCTGTAATGCACGACTTTCCACGTGACCTGAGGCCGCGTAAGTCGGCTGAACTGCATAAAAATTCAATTTTTGAGGGTTTTCTTAATTTGGTCATCTCTCTCTCCGTTTTCATCCATTTGGATAGCTTCGTTTTTGTTGAAGCTCTTCAAGTGGAGAACAAGGAGGATTGAAG